ATATATATATAGAACATTTTATTAGTGATTTAATACTATTAAATTAAGATTTCATTTGGGAGACTCGTTTAGACCGATACTTTATTTAGTGACATAGATATTCGAATCCCCGAGAAAACACACGTATCATTATATTTTATCTTTGAAGGAAGAAAAGATTAAGGAGAAGACAGAAAGTAAAGAAAATAGGAAAAGAAATTCGAAGGAGAAAACAGCACAGAGAAAGGTTTGCACTATATCTAAAACACTAAACAGATACTAACTCTAATTACAATATAAAGTGTAAAATAAATTAATAATAAGATAATTAATGAAATATTGACCATATTGTCGGGAAATATATATCATAGATATAAAGAAATGTATCCAAAGATATTTCTGTCTGTTTTTCTTGTTAGCATATGGAATCTCAAGATAAATAAATTCGATGATTTTTACGATTTTCCATTGATACGTTATAGATTAAACAGAGACAAATGTGTACTTCAAGATAATCTGTTTTAAATTCCTCTGTCCGTTAGTCCGTTTGATTATAGCTACAAATACATGTTTATTTCAAAAAATTTGAGAACGGCAAATAAAACCATTGTTTTTCATAATTTTCAATTATTAAGCGTGGTTGTATTTATTTAAATATGTTAATGAAATATATACCATATTTTAGGGAAGAATGTTAACTTTAAGATAAATGAAAAATGCAATTAAAGATCTCTGTTTGTTTCTCCGTGCTAATATCTAGAAATGTATGATTTTTTTAAAAACTAGCGGCAAATAAAATCGATGTTTTTCATGAATCAAGACGTTATTTATTAAGGCATATTTATGAGATATTCAGGGATATTTTCTAAGACTTTTAAGACGTAAGGAAGTCGTCTGAAACTATAAACAACTTTGTCGAAAATAATATGTAAAATTTCGTTTCGAATCATGCTTACCGTTATTCGAAAATGATTCATAATATGATGTCAAATTTAGCGTAACAGAAAAATTATTAAAGCTTGCAAAACAGAGCAGACGGAATTCAAAGTTTTTTAACTATAACATCTATCTCTCATCTGTTTCTAAAGGAGGTCATTATGGGGTCAGGTAAACCATTAAATGACATAAGATACTCCGATAAACAATTGTTGCACTTTTAGACAGCTAGAGAAAGTCTGTTTTTGGAATAGACATAACTTTTAACCTAGTTTCATAATTGTTTTGTATCAAGATAAGAACTTAATCCGAAAAAAGCAGATGCACATGTTCTATATCGTTAGGTTATATTCATATTTATTGGGACAATTTATTCTAGATATACCAACAATTCTTTACCCATGTCTCCGCTTTACTTTTGTTTCTTAATTAGAGTTATTTCGATGTTTGAATTTAAAAAATAAGCCCAGATGCTTCCAAACGCTTTACACGATATTCAAACTTAATTTTCGGCTGTTGATTAGTTTCTTCCGTCGGTATATGAATGTTTTTAAACGGCCTAAACTGCGCTAGGATATGCATTACTTTTATAGATATAATTAGGAAATTCCTATATATGATATATAATAGTAAGTTAAAAACTGAATTACAATTAATTTAAGTAATGTTTGTGTTTATATTGAAATAAAACCCTGTGGACGATTTTACAATATATAACTACGTTAGAATACGGAATGCTTAAGAGTTATGGATATCAATAATGATATTTTATACATGAAATACGCACGGTGAAACATCAGTTTTGTGCTGTAAATTAATGTCATGTAGATGAAAAAACTTTTTTCTTGTTTATGTTACTTACACAAACAATTATAAAACTTTACCTAAATATTTTCTGTAATAACATTGTACCAAAATTTTCTTGACGCTTCTTCACTTTATGAATATGTTAGTGGGGCCTGAACTGCACATAGAATGCTTTGGCTTTACCTATATAATGGAAAAATTTATAGACAAAACAATTTTTTCTAATTGATATAATAAGGAATTACCAATGGTTTAAACAGTATCGATATTTGAAGTGGTGGCAAAATATGTCCAGACGCTTCCGAGCGCTATATGTTTGTCGTTTAGCGACATGAAATGCGCTTGGGTAGGATAGACGATAGAAAGCTTTTTGGCTTTCGATTAAATATCATAGACGAAAAACTTGTTTATGCCTAGGCAGCATCTGCGATACGGTTGCATAAAAGGATTCAACTGCGTGTGTATGTTACTTAAAGAATCTGATTGTTTAGACCAAATTCAGCCAAACTTGTCAGGATTGTTCCTCGGGTAAAAGGCTTCCAAAGATGTTCAAAGAATTTGATGCCATGAAAAAATCTGGTTGCCATGGCAACCAAAAATATATATAGAAAATCTTATTTTAGAACCACAAGGGTCAGACAATTGATATTTTACTTACGGTATTGGACCTCTACCAATATTTTCAAATATACCCTTCGGGTCAACATTGGCCCTCAATCCGGGAGTCATTGATTTTCGTAAAGTACATAGAGTAAAAACTTTTAAAGATCCTGCATTTTTGTAAGTTTTGTAATTGAGGTTGTATACCAGTCATACGTGGCATTATATATGTATATAATAATGCTAATACAACAATTTTGAAACATCGAAAATATGTAAAATATTTACTGCAAATATTTGTACATATTAAATGTAATTATAAGATTATATGCATTCATTTCTTATTGGAAAATTTACTTAGAATTTATAGAACACACATTTTATTACCTCCATTTATTTACATGAAATATCAAATTCCTTAATGTCTTTATAAATAATGCTTTTTGGAACTTAAAATATTGATAAATCTTAATTTGGGCTTCATATCTTTTTATATAAAACCATGAAAAAATGTGTTACAGGATCTTTAAGGATATTTTTGCCCGATTGTACAAGCTTAGAGCTTTGTTAATTGGTAAATTATATCATTCATAGGACTTCTACCAAAGTTGTTCAAGTTTAGTATCTTATGTCAAAATTTGGCCACCCTTTAGGGCATTGGTTTTCCTTATATCATGTATATGTTGTAAAAGCTTAAAAAATCTGCTTCTCTGGATTGAATTAGGCTAGATGTTAGATATTTTGAATGAAACATTTGGTAGTAGGTTGAAATTCGGTCATTGATTTTCATTATGTACATATAGTAAAAATTTTAAAAAAATCTTCTTGTCTTAGGTAAAAGGCTCAGAGCATTGGTACTTGACATATTATGTCGTCTACAGGGCCTCTACAAAAGTTTTTCTAAGCCTCGAGTGCCAAAATTGGCCCCACTAAGGGGGTCATAGGTTATCCCTATATGTATATAGTAAAAGCCTAAAAAACTTCTCCTTTGAATTGACAAAAGCTAGAAGTGAGATATTTGGCATGAAACATTGTGTTGTATACTTCTGAAAAGATTGTTCAAATTATAGTCCTAGGGTCAAAATTTGCCCATGTCACGGGTTGCCATTCATTATATATGTCTGAAAGTACAAACTCAAGAGCTGTGATATTTGGTATATGATCTCATTTATAGGTCCTCTATCAATGTTTTTCAAAATAGTGACAAAATTGGCCCTATCCCGGGGGTCATAGATTTTCTAAAAAATATATTATTATAATAAGTAAAAGCTATAAAATTCTTCTGTGAAATGACAAGTCGAAGAGTTGTGATATTTGGTATGAAACTTCAACTAGCGGACCTCTATCAGTTTTGTTGTAGACTTCTAACCAGATTGTTAAAATTATAGTTTTAAATGTAATGGACCTAAACGTAATTGAGCGTAAGAATGTATGAAAACTATTTTCCAGGGCCAGGACTTTTATCAGCTAATTTGATAAATTTATTCCTGTTTGTCAGGCTTTTAATGATTCCAGCATTTTTACCTAATAATCTAAGCTGTTTGTCGTTCTGAATAAAGCTGGGAATCGACTATAACTGTTCAATAAGTCCCGAGTTAAATTCAACTTATTTCCGGTTACTTGTCCACTTATGGTCCCTAGTACAAGAACTTCTTCTAATTTGTTTGAACTGCTTGTCTCTCAATTCACACTATAGCGAAGAAAAGTTCTTGTCTAAATACTCCTGAAAAGCAACCACAGAATCCAAAGAGCCACCTCTATCGCTGCCACGAGGTCGTCCTGCGTTTTCACTATAATTTTCCATTTTAGACAGAATATAAACATGTAAATGTAGCAATGCAATTTCCTTGAGTGATTTGAAATGCCTTTTATTACTTTATATATAAATCTGATACGCTTTGTTAATACACAAAAATATCATGCAAGAGAATCTGTACACAGATACTATATTACAATATATCTTAAAAGCTCTACCAAAAATAAATGCATATGAATTTCCGATTTGTATCGTCTTGTAAATGAAATATTGTAATATACTTATGAAAAACCATGCATAATTTCATTTTCCGTGTTTTCACTGTGAAAAAAAAACTTCACTGTAGCGAGACATATTTTCCGTATTTCATATTTGCAATTCTTCTAAATATAGCCAATTCAAAAAATTAAAGGGAAAGTCTTTCTGATCGCAAGGTAAAAAAACAGAGTCAAGTATGTAATAAACAGAAAATTCAAGTTTTTCCTCTATAAAATGTTTCACTAGTGGAGATATACTATATCTTGTGAAACAAAACGTGAATGTAGTTTCGTTGATGAAAAATTTCAAGTGATTTGCATTTGTATAGCTGCTTCCAGCACTTTTTTCTGACCCATAACTGTATTTCGAAAAGCGAGGTCTTCCCCGCAATGCTTTTTAATGCTAGACTTCTTTTATTGCAGTGTCTATTCTAGGAAGGGAATGGACAGGTTTCAAACATATTTTGACAATAACCCCCTTTTTCAGAGACAGGGGGAAAGTTTACATAGAGAAAGAAGGAAATAGATCAACAAATGTAATCAATTCTCACTTTCGATAGAAATCTCCCATGTTTTTCAAATCCTAGAATAGACTCTGTCATTGATTTTTAAAAAAAAAATTAAAGATGTTTCTCATTTAATTGAAGACACATTGTTTTTTCTTTCACAGATGAATACTTGCTCTATTGATGGAGAAATTTCCCTTTCTGGTGATGAAATTTTCAAAAAGATGGTAAGTTTTTCTCTTATATAATAACAACAACAATTATAATAACAATACTTTTTATAAATGGTCATGATGATGATATTTTATGGTTATATCTTATATGAATCAAACGCTAAAAGACAAATGTGTTTGGAGCAAAGGTGACAGACATAACAAACTGACACAGAATCACTTACACGTCCAGCAATATGATCAAATATAATTTCTTTATAATAGAAGATACTTCAATAAAGACTCATACGTAGTGCTCTCTTTTTAGACGAACTTTTAAATAGAAATATGGTTTAATATTCTAGAAAATTTGTTTAATTTAACTGAACTTAAAATTTATATTGAAAGCGAGACACAGGCAAAATTTTCATTTCTTCTATTTGAATTCTTTAAATATTGTATAAAATAAATGTCCTCGAAATGAATATTGTAACAAAACTTTTCTCCTTATAAAGAATTAAATGGTGGTTTTCCAACTTAACCCACGTGGGTCAGGTTAGCATTTAGATATCTCAACATTTATTACATTTATTATAGCATCAAATCGGCGGCTATTTGTCCCCTCTTTTGCCCATGTTACAACGGGACCAAAACCATGTTTAACATAGTCACGCGCTCTTGTTTTGACAAATGACAATTTGGTCTGTTTGCCAAAGAGTCATGCGCTCTTGTTATATTGAAATTATTTATTCGAGGGCCTCAATCGCATAACGGTAAGGAGCATTTAAGTAACTATGCCGGAAATACGGCGTATAGACATCGCCGCTAATCTTAGTTGTTGCCCTTTCTAAGAAACGGACAGTTGTCAATGTAAACAAATATCTGTGCTTCAGTTTATCCCTCCGATTAACTAACAAAACAAGATAACACAAAATTAGTATGAAAAAATGTTGTTTTATTGATGTTTATATTGATAAATGCTCTTCATATTTCCTTGAGAGAATTATGTTTAGTGCCTGATTTTATCGATGTACAGTAAACCTGTGTGCTTGAAAAAAAATCTGACGTCACTGATCTTTTTTCAAACGTCAATCTGAAATCATTCTAGGAATTTCTGAGGGTCATGTTTTGTATTAGGTAGAGTAATCTAATGTCTTTTTCTTGAGTTAATAAATCTCTAATGTTCGGATTTGTTAAATCAATTAAAATTTGAATTTCGTTCGGTTCTGAGCATTTGTATTTCCCAAGTTGTTGGCCCCGGAAAAATAAAACGCATACGTAAAACATGTAGAATTGGATAAATACCGTCGAAGCACAAGGATTTAATGAATGTGTTTTGTATTAAATAGACACTCTGTTTTAAAATTTTATGCTATAATAGCGTCAACGTTATTTCGTGTTAAAAAAATTCATAGTTTTCTATAATATAGGGTTAACGCACGTCTCCCGTGTTATAAAGTATGCAAAGTCCCATGGAACTGTTGGAGCATTCGCCCTACAAGGCTCGGGCACCAACCGTTCCTCGAGACTCTGCAGACGTTATAACACGGGAAAACGTGCGTAACCCTATATTTTAGAAAACTATGAATTTTTTTTAAGTGCATGTAAAATGAATGATTAAGACTTATTTCAATCTAACAATATCAACAATATCTGTTATTGAGTTTTTTTCTAGTTAAATGAATTGTTTAAAAACTACTCTGTGACTCTGTCGAAGTTAATCATAATTTCATCAAAGATACAGAATGATATAATTACGCTTAAAGCCCAAATTATATAGAACTTATACAGAAATTCATGCTAGGACCTTTAAAAATGTCATTTTTCGCATGATTTGAGAAAATAAGATTAATTTTATATTTTTGTCATTCAAGGTTGACTTTGAAAATGGACTACACAAAAATAATTGCATCCAATTTTTAGAATCCACCGAGGTAAGTTCTGCACATCAATATTATATCTTAGCTGAATTGACATTTAAAAGCCTTCGTAAATGAAATGTCGTAATTTGTAACGTCACACGTCATGATAATCCCTTTTCCTGAGGTACTTGTTTCCTGAAGAAAAAAAACCCAGCTTATCACAGTATATGAGATTGTAACTGTACAATAAATCATTAGTATTTTTCTTTTGCGTCTTCTTATTAGCTCACCAGAGCCGAAGGCTCATGGTGAGCTATTAGTATCAAAGGGGAACTCCGGCGTCCGTCGTCCGTCGTCATGCGTCAACAATCGTCTTCTTCTCTGAAACTGCTATGTAGATTTACATAAAATTTGGTCCTTAGCATCCTTGTGACAGTAACACTAAAATTGGCTCAAGTCATTTCAATCGGCCCCTTTTAGGGGTTAACAGAGCTAAAAAAAGAAAAACATTTAAATATGTTCTTCTACAGAACTAATTGATGGATGATCACCATTTTTGTCTGTAGCATTTTTGGGTAGTCTTTTATTAAGTTTGTTAATATTTATTTGAATGGCCCCTTTTAGAGGCCGTTATAGCTAAAATAGACATACCTTTAAGCGTTTTCTTCTACAGAACAAAATTGATGGATGATCACCAAACTTTGTCTGTAACATTCTTGGGTAGTCTTTTATCAAGTTTGTTCATATTAATTTGATTGGCCCCTTTCGGGAATCTCTAGAGCTAGAAATAGAGAAAAAACCTTTAGATATCTTCTTCTACATAACTAATTGATGGATGATCACCAAACTTTGTCTGTATCATTCTTGGGTAGTCTTTTATCAAGTTTGCTCATTTATTAATTTGAGTGGCCCCTTATAGGGGCCGCTATAGCTAAAAATAGAAATACCTTTAAATGTCTGCTTCTACAGCACTAATTGGTGGATGATCACCAATTTTTTTCTGTAGCATTCTTGGGTAGTCTTTTATCATGTGTGCTCATATTAATTTGATTGGCCCCTTTAAGGGGTCTCTAGGGCTAAAAATAGGAAAATCGTTAGACATCTTCTTCTACAGAACTAATTGATAAATGATCACCAAACTTTGTCTGTAGCATTCTTGGGTAGTCTTTTATCAAGTTTGCTCATATAAATACCGCTATAGCTAAAGACAGAAATACCTTAAAACGTCTGCTTTTACATATCTAATTGATGGATGATCACCAAATTTTGTTTGTAGCATTCTTTGGTAGTCTTTATCAAATTTGCTCAAATTCATTTGATAAGTCCCTTTTACGGGCCGCTATAGCTAAAAATAGAAAATACATTTGAACATCACTTCCTACTGAAATAATTGATGGATGATCACCAAACTTTGTCTGTTGCATTTTTATGTAGTCTTTTATCAAGTTTGCTCATATTAATTTGATTGGCCCCTATTAGGAACAACTATAGCTGAAATTCCCCAGGCCATGGCATTTCTTCAAATTATAGTTTAATAATGAAAGGAAAATTACTCATGTTGGAATGTTTCCATATATGTGTACATACATACATGTGAACTTTCCCAATTTGAGCTGGAGACACCCTCTTTCTCCTATCAAATTTTTAAATATTTTCTTAGAATAAGGGGTGTTTAAAAAATATAAAGAAGTCTCCCTCTTTTTCATTTCAAAATATCCTACTATGTCTATTGTCAATTAAAAAATCTCCCTCTTTTTGAAGTTAATTTTCCCTCTTGAAAAATTTTATGCATAAAAAAGATTGAATGTCATATTGGCATGACCTGTTTGCTTTAGAAATGATTTGAGGTCATGTGTTTTGTATCTTTCTGTTTGTGGGCATTGCATCATTCTATTAATCATTCTACAGATTCATTTGAAGGTCAATGTAGAGAAATTTCCCTAGGAAATGAAATAAACCCTAAATAAATATTACATTTGTTTTTTCGTACCTTACTTTCTTGGAGAAATCACATTTCAATAAATATTGGGACATACTGTTGAACCTGATGTTTCATGTGCATGGGATATTGTCACTGTGTGACAGATAGGTGATTGTTTTTCACTGAGACTCATTTACAGTATCTGTTGTATTCTATGAGAATATAATAATAATATAAAGAATATCCTGATCGATAGACCTGTAAGTTAAATGTTAATAAATTTGAATTTATTTTTCATAAATGTAGATATGGCTAAAATTATTTTTCATCTTATTTTACTTTATAATCTTTTGTAACTTAGCAGTTTACATTAAGGAACACAACTTAAGTTTAAGTGAACTCATGTCAACTTTAGAAGTATGTCTTGTTTGTCTTAATGTAATTTGTCATTTTTTATTCTTTGTGCTATTTTAGTATCAGTTTCGATAATTTCTATTCAGAATCACATTTTGCAAACTTGGTTATCACTTGTTGAAAGTAATTTTGCAATGTATGTAAAGTTGTTTTCATGTTCACTGAATACCTTTCATCAAAACAACCTTTTGCCTTTTTCCTCTATGTAGTTAAAGTTACCATTTTTCCCATTTCTATTAGAGAGTAAGATATTAACCTGAAATGTTTATATTCTGGTCGAGTTGACTAGTATACCTATGTTATCTAAAATAAATATTGACCGGTGATGTCATCCTGACAAACAGCATACATGTATATCTAAAAACTGAGATTATTTTATTATCTAATTTTTAAGGCAAAATTTATCACAAATTAATGGATGGATGATCACTAAACTTGGTTCCTATCATTTTTACTATAAAGAAAAAACAATCAGTGTCGTGTCAGGAAACCTTATAACTAGAGAGTCAAGTTGAAGTTGACCTGGACTTGTCTTTCTTCAAGTTGATTTGAAAAAAAATTCTATAATCACTGAAAAACAGTTGCTGCGGGTGAGCGATTCAGGGCCACCATTGCCCTTTTGTTTTATAAGTTGACACAGTTTCAACTTGATGAATTTTGTGTGCAGCATTTTCCTACACAAAACCCTTGATAATCCTTTAAACAAATCGAAAAAAAAAACACTTTTACCTCGTCAAGAATGTCTCAATAAGTTTTGATAGAAATACAATTTGCTTTCTGACGTAATTCAAGAACTTATAATTATAAATAATTCATTAATCATTATATTTACTTTGGTTCAAACTTTCATTTGGATTTCGCTGGAACTGTTAAATCATTTTGCGTTTTCACACTATTTCGAGTTTTAAGTTAACTGAACTTTTTTTGCTTTAACTATAATACTTTTATTATTTTTGTCCTCAGGAACAAAGGCATGAAGAGCCAAATTTACGTCTGAAATTCTTAAAGAAACAGGTAGGGCATCAACTTACTTTTCCTTTTTTATGAAAAAAGATTAATGAGTAAGCTTCAATGTAACACCAATAAAGATATAAACTAATTCAGTGTAATATTTTTAAACAACTGAATTTTTAAAATGCTTTGATGATCCCAGACAGTTAACATATTTGAAACGAATGATAGCCATCCAAAGCATGTCATGTTGACCGATAACAGTTGACTTAGCCTTTTTCTGCACAAATTTTCATTTCATTTTAAATTTATTCTTAAAATTGTTTATGTTCCCCTTTACCTATTTATCTAAAAGGCTCAATACAGTCTGCCATTTTTATCATCAGATGAAGTCTGTTTCAGGATGAATGCTCGTGTTCTGAGAAATTCTTAGAACAAGTGATAGGTATTTCGAACACGATTCCAGAAACAAAGGTATACTCTTATTTATTTTTGAGTAGTTTTTGTTGAACGATTAGAAAGTATCACATCGAAAGTTTATGTTCAGCGACATAACAATAATTTTAAAAATGCCGGTCTTTATATAGAACAATACAAAGAGGGATATGAAATTTGTCTTGACATGTTTTAACGTCAATAAAAAGCATATAACTAGAAAGTTAGTGTCCGAGTCCCTGAGTGTCAAGACGGATCTGGGATTTAAAAAAAATCAATTTCTATAACAATAGCTAAAAACATCAGTTATGTTTATTTTCACCTTGAATGGGTTGTTTATATCAAATGTTATCAACACCTTATGGTCACATCTAAAACATACTGATCAACATGCGATTTAAGCTTAGAAACAGTCCTTACTTATGCATTTGGAATTACATAGATTTAAACATATTTTACATTTTATAAAATATACAAAGCATCACATCTGAGGGACAAGTGAAATACACAAATCAACTATTATTATAACTATAATCACCTCCTTTCTACGACATCATTAACTATTAACTGCAATGTCTTTCTATAAATAGATAATTAAAGCAGAACGTTGACTTAATATATAAATGTCATTCTAAAACTCATACTACAAATTTCACAATCAATCAACTGCACAAAAATATGTCAGAATCACAATAATACAATTCTTATTATATAAGATAAGGCATTTAACAACAGTCAGACTTGATACATACCTTCGGTTCTTTTTCTCTAGATATTGTTTTGAAGACAATTTCAATCTTTAAATTTCAAAGAACGAATTTTTTTAGCTCGACTTAAAAAAAAAGGAAATAAAAATAGAGGTATTGTTACAATTGTGTCGTCGCCGTTGCCGTCAGCAAACCTATCATAACTTGTCAAATTATTTTTGTATTGTCTTCATACTTGGCCACAACAACACTTTGGACAAAATCTTAGACAAGACTTAATTTGACCTTTATTCTTAAATGACATTGACCTTTATCTTAAATGTAAGAACCGTCGAGTATATCAAACCCAAATTGACATTGGCTCATGTATGACCTTGAAGTTCAAACTATTGAATTTCCAATGATTATTGCTATAATTGGCTTAAACTTTGTAATTAACCAATGGATTCTTTTCATCCTTGGGCAAACAACTTTTTGGACAATGTTTTCTTAAAGGTTTAACTGACATTTTCATTGAGCTTTAAATGACATTCACAACAAGGTCAAATTATCGAAGTTTGGTTAAGTTGCCATAAATATGTTATTCATGTAGGATTTGATTCTTTTGTGGACAAAACAACTCTTGTGACTACACCTACATGTTGAATCATACCGATATAACATTGACTTTTACTTGATTAACGAATTTTGATTACATTTTCTAAACTTTGACATTCATTTATGGAAAAAAATTCATACTTGGACAAAACAACACTAAGAAAAAGAATAAACACTTTATTTTTCTTTCTTTTCTTTTTCCAGATTTTTTAAGCGATTATTTTTTGCTTATTTACAAGTTAAACAAGTCAAGCGTTGCCCCAACCTTCTAGAGGCATGCTGTTTTAAACAACGTCCAATCTCGTTTTACAAGTACAGAAAATTAATTCTTCAAGATAAATATCAAGTTAATTATTTATATATTGTTTTCAGCTTGTTGATTTATATAAAGATGCAAAGGTGCGAAATTATATCTGTGATGAAAAACATTGCAATGACGAAAATATCGTGTTTCGATTGGTGTTACATCTCCAACATATATGTATGGAAAAAGGCTTTAAAATTCTACGAAGGTATTGTTTTCAAAACATGTCGCGGCTGAGAACTTTATGCTTATTTTTACATAGAGATTTGATGCTTTAACAAAATTACAGCTGTTATTTGTACGAAAAGTATCGAGTAAATCCCTAGAAGTGTCATCAGCATAACCTATATCACGTTACGATTCCAAAACACTGACTGTTGAGTTTGAAAGTTTCGATCCCGAACCTATTGCCATGACGTATTTTCTTATCATCTTTGATTTTGCTGGCGATTTCAACCGACTCATTTTCAGCAACTGTATCCATGACGCCAGGGCTTTAATTAGGTAATATGTTAAGCTTATACCTCTGAGTCAGGTTTTCTCGGCAACTTTTTCTTATGATCTACGATGTTTGTCGTTCTTAATAATACTGGAAACCGACACTAACTGTTCAATTTGTCCCGAGTTAAATTCAAACACATTCGGTCACTTGTCAACTTAAAGTCAGCACAAGAACTTTCTGGTCCTTAGACACTGATTTATTATCTCTCATTTTACTCAAATGGATACAGATAGGATAAACTTTTAAAATGTAAGAATATTTATTTAACAGTAAGAACAAATATTTAAAAATAATTATACCTTTAACATCTATTAATATTCATTTAAAAAAACTATAAATCTACTTTTCACAATTTCCATTATTCTCAATAAATATTTCTGTTAAATTATCTGATTCTATTTTATGCTCTAATATTCTTTAATCAATGTTCTAAACTTTCAGTATCTTATACTGATTTTCCACCCCAAAAATCAACTTATTCATCTCTGAATTCTCAGAACCAATTTAACTCACATTCTAAAACATGCTCTATTGATACTAAAAGAATTCTGCCAGAATTGGCAGAATTTGGCAGACAGTGTGATGTCATAAATAATAATGGCAGGATTAAGCAGAATGCTTCATAAATACATACAAGCATATTCAGATATTATCTTTGAAGTTTGCAAAGTACAATTAAACTGGAAATACAAAATATAAGATCAAATAGAATAAAAGCAATTACATAAGATATGACATGCTCTGAAAACATCATCAGTCAGCTGTAAAAACCCAATGTTGACAAACAAGGGAAACGCCCACGAAAATTAATGACGTAAAACGCATAATTCATTGACGTAATACACATAAAAATTCCGGGTACACATAAATGTTGTTAACATGTTGGTAACTCACAATCAGACAAATTATCCAATATCTTTAGAAATTGAAGTTAACAGTAGATAACAATTATAAACAGACATACAAAAATGTGGATAAAGTCTACCACTAAAAGGTAATTCAATCTTTAAGATAAACATCACTTTCATTAAAAATATTGTAAACAATACCCCGCCCACTTTAAAATCATTATGTAGTAAAAAGTAGTTTACAAGACAAATACTCAATTAAAGAATAAAGTGAGCAGAAGAATTATTAGATCACTTGATGCCTGCACTATCGCTGCCACGTGGCTGTCGTCCTGTGTTTTCGCTATCACTATCCATGAATGAAAATAAACACGTGAAGGAAGCAAAGAATGAAATTACCTCGAGTAATTGGAAATGCCTTTCAATACTTTATATAGAAATCTGATACGCTTAGTTTATGCACGAAGATACGAAGATATTGTGCAAGACACTCTGTGAACAGTTACGATATTACAACATACCTAAATCGCTCGACCAAGAAAATACATATGTGTTGGGTTGTTAATGTTTATCAATATAGCGTAAAACATGTGATAATTACCTCGATTAAAGTGGCATAATGTCCATCAAAGTGTTAATGATTAGTGTTGAGATAATAGTTAAAAAAACTGTTTGAAATCCTGTTCTGTACTTCGCCAGAATTATCAATTATGACTCTATGAAAATTTTATCAATATTCTTCAAAAGGGATCTATAACGTTATAAATTTCGCTGTTTTTTTTAAGATTTATGTTTTAAGCAAAATTTTTTTGTTAAATACTAGCTATTTTTATAATAAGTATATTTGTTATTTGTCAATGACCCATTAAAAAGTCAATCTTTTGAAATAAATGAAATAGCTTATAGGAAATAAGTCATTTAACGTTTTATAGATTCTCAGCAAATATTTTTTTTCTTTTTAGAGCGCTCCAGATTGGAGGTATGTTTAACCTTTTATTTTAAAACCAAGTAAGTATGGTCGGTTCTTTAAATAAAATGACTTCCGATTAGATTTCGTTTGACCAAAAGAATCTAAGGCAAGTAAAAACACTATGATGTTAGTAGGAACAATCGGAATGTATTTTCTTGCTACATTTGTGTCAAAAGTTATGTGACAAAAGTTATGAATTAATTGCTTTAACATTCACCAAATTGAATTTGACTATGATCGCAATTGTTTCACTCGTGATATATTCTTTGAGTTATTCTGAATATAGAAATATGATGGCACTTTTTATTCAGAAATCAGCATGACCCTCACGCACAAAATTAATCTATAACTTACAATAAAAAAAATGTATATTATCTGGATGAGTTGAATTTCCCGATTTAATACATACTTTAATGAAATATTGAGAAATATTGATGAAATTAAATGCATATTTTCATTTCCTTATATTCACTGTAGAAATATATATTGTTCGCCCATTTTAACATAATTTCCGTAATTTTATGGTGTCGTTCTTCTAAATTCAGCCAATGAACAAAACTAGGGAAATAGAGAGAAATAAAGAATCTATAAAAAAACGCACAAAACGACAAAATTGAAAATGTAGCAGGTTTGGTTTTATTGAGCCTGTTCGTGGACGGTAATGAAAAGTGCAAGTTACCGTCCACGCCCAATAGCAACGG